CAGAAGGGTTTAGGGGAGACACTGTTTCCCCTAGCGCCCCCTGGCATGACAAGGAACAATGGACACAAATTATTAGAGAGTAGGTTTAGATTAGACATCTGCAAGAACTACTTCACAGTTAGGGTGGCTAGGAGCTGGAGCCAACTTCCAAGGGAAGTGGTGCTGGCTCCTACCCTGGGGTTCTTTAAGAAGAGGCTTGATGACTACCTGGCTGGACTCATTTGAGTCCAGTTTTTCTCCTGCCCAGGCGGGGGGTCGGACTTGAAGATCTACAAGGTCCCTTCCGACCCTACTTCTATGATTCTATGACCCATCCTATTAACACTTTTATTCTAAATGTGATTTTTTCAAAACGCCATAACTTGAAAATGACGTTCCTGGCAAGACAAGTAAAAATAGGGAGGGAAGAGGCTGATCCTTTCCTTGCATGAGATAGGAAAATCTCAGTAAGGCCAGGTCAGTGGGAATTTATGGGAGATAGGTTGAAAATTGGACAATATTGGAAAGATTGCTTTAGCCTTTATTGTGTTGGAGCTACCACTTCCTTAGATACAGAACAAATACATAATTCAACTTAAATTATGCATTCATTGTGACCAAACATATATTCCTGTGGAGAGTAAATACAATCAGCTAAGAGACTTTTAAAAATCTAATTAGAGGTATTTCTGCATTCAGAACAAGTAAAGTCACAGCTGTGTTGGTCTAAGTTAGAGCGCTGGCAACCTTTAAAAAGCTGCAGGCTGGAATAACCGAGCTCTAGTTCCAAGTGGCTTCAGTGGCATGTCAGTGGTGAGGACCTTTGCCTGTAGCACACTTGCATCACCACTACTTCCCCAAGCCCCTCCAAGTGTAGCTTTAACACAGGCTCACCTTCCAGCTGGTAGGGAGCTCCACTGGGGCTGGGCAGCTGGAAGCTGCATCTTCCCCACGGCACCTTCTCCTCTACCTCCCAGCTGCAGCACAGCCCCCCCACTGACTAGAAGCTGCACCTGTGTTGTAGCCAGGGAGTGGGGAGCTAGAGGAAGCAGCAGTATGGATGCAGCGTCTAGCTACCCAGCTGCTTGTTGCCTGGCCCTTGCACAGGCACAGGCAAAGCCCGCTGGCTCTGTGGGCTGGATCCAGTAGCTCCACAAGCTGTCTGCTGCTTAGCCCTGATTTAAGTCAAAAGTATCTGGACCTTTTGTAAAACTGGCACAAAATGAATAATTATTATTATACAATTTTTAGTCCACAGATTTACACTGTTATGAATCTTTTTATTATGTTAGCCATAAGTGATATACAGTACTTGAAAAACTAGAGGGAGAGAGTCTGTACTTAAATGAACATGATAGTGTGTTTGTTGCACATATATGTCTAAGACTGCAAAGGTCTGTGTTTTGCATAAGGCTGTGATTTCCTCACAAGGTTTATGAAGTTGCTGAGCCCCTGCTATTGATTCTCAGGTTCTGGAGTGGGATGTATAATCGCTTTGAGAAAGGAATGCATCCGCGGCAGTCAGTTACAGATTATCTGATGGCAGTGAAAGAAGAAACTCAGCAGTTGGAAGAGGAATTAGAAGTCTTAGAAGAGGTAAGAGACACTTGGTCTCATTATCCCAGGCTTAAATCTAAAAAATAACCAAAAAAACTTTGCTAGATTTGTATAGAGCAGAGGTTTTCAACCTTTTTTGACTCGAGACAGCCCTTGATGGACTCAAGGAACCCCTCAATACATTCAAGGCACCCCATGGAAAATGCCAGCTCTTCGTTTTCACTCTTTGGCATACTTAACAGTGCTAACATTGTGTGGCACCCCACAGCATCCTTGAAAGACTCTCAAAGCACCTCAGGGTGCTGTGGCAGCCTGGTAGAGAATCACTGGTTTAGGGTGTGATAGCATCCCCTGTCTGCTATGCGCTCTTCAATCACAGATGGAGCCTCAGCCCAAGCATCCTTCCTGCTTCCATTGATGTCAAGGAGAATTTTATTTTCCTTTTGATATCTTTGTCTTTTTAGAATGAACATTTGCCTTTGTCCTTGCCCATACCACCACATAGCTTTGATAGGCGTTTCATATACTTCTACAGCATGCAAAGCATAGACACCAATTTTATCTATGCTCTAAATGACCCCACTGAAGTAAGTGGGAGAATTGTCAGATAAATAGGGTTGCAAAGGGCTTATATTAATTTTAATCCAAATTTTTATACAGTGCCCAAGGCACAATACAGCCCAATTCTGCTCATAACTCACATTGTCTCTCTTCTTTCAGAGACTATCAAATCTTAAAAAAGTGCAGGTAAATAATAATAAAGTAAAGAATATGCAACAAGACCGGAACAAAGCACTACGGCTCTCTGCTTCTAACAACAGCATAGCTAATACTCCCCAGGAGTACAGTAACAATCTGAAGTCATTCCCATCCCGGAGCCCCTCTCAAGGGGATGAAGAAGACTCAGCCCTGATTCTGACACAGGACAACCTGAAAAGCTCTGATCCTGATCTCTCAGCCACCAGTGATCAGGAATCAGGTGTGGAGGACTTAAACTGCCGGTCGCCAAGTGGTGGTTGCCTGCCCAGTGAAGACAGTGGCAAGGATCCAGATTCAGATGAAGCTGTGTTTCTCACCGCCTGAAATGACTTTTCATCAGAGGAAGAATTGGGGCCATCTCTGAACTTCTAAAGAAATCCAAAGAAAGGGAGCCATGCAATAGTGTGTGTAAAGGCAGAACAAGCACTTATCACTATTGTCTTATCATAGTTAATCAAGAAAGGTAAATCTCTGCTATTATGAACATTCATTCATTCAAGCCACGTGTGGTTGCATCTTTTAACTTTAAAAGCCATACAGAATTATTCTTTTATTTTTATTTAAAAAATGCTATTTTTTTTAATTTCCATGATTGCTTCTTTTCCAAGACTCTTGGTAAAGCGTGTTCCTATGAAAAAGGCCAGAGAGATATCAATGTTATAAGTACTAGTGAGTTATCCACATTTGTGGTCTGGAGTATTTTTGCCTTCAGGGAGTTTGTGTGCATTTTTTTTAATTATTAACTTTTTTTTCTTTGACGTGTTCACATTAACAATTGTTTTAAACATTTTCCTATGAAAACCTACTGGGGCAAAGTAAAGGTAAATTTGAAACCAAATGAATAAGATCAGCTAAGCAGGGACTGGATCCTATTACAATCAAGGGCACTCGCCCATGAGCACGTGGAGTTACTGAACTAGGAAAGTTCTCAGTTTTTGCACACTGGTGAGCAAAAGTTTCTGCGAGGAAAACGGGAAGAATATAAATATAAATGCACAATCTTTTTCATAAAGCATGATGAATGTCACTAATTCCTTTTCATTTCTATTTTGTTTTCTTTATTTAAATTATACTTCTTTATAAATCCTTGGGAAGCAGGTACAAATGTGTAACCTTACCTACTTTTAAAGAGCAAATGTAAAATTTTTCAAGAGCACCCAAGTCCTACTGACTTAATGAGACCTGAGGTAAAAAAAAAGTATCAAAACTAATTAGATGCCTAACACCCAGTGATTTTTCAATAGGAGTTAGGTACCCAGCCAGCTCAGAAGATTTGGACCTAGATTACTTTTGAAATTAAGGATTTTCAGATACATTTTATACCCAAAGTTTAGGCTTTACAAAGAATTCCTTTCTAAATCCCAGCATGTGATCCCAAATGTGAAAACACATTTTTATCTGCCTATTTCCTTTCCCTTACAGTGGGAAAGGTAATAGGCTTCAGACCAACCTGAAGCATGGGTGCCACAAGCGGGACAGGCAGCCTCTGTGCACAACACATGGCAGACCGGAGGGAGAAGAAAGTGAAGTAGCAGATAAGGCAGGGAGTACAGGAAAAGAAGCAGAGCAGCACATTGGGCATGGGAAGGGGGGAGTGGCAGTTGGGGAGGATGCAGAGTTAATTTGTGGCACACCTGCCAAAAAAGGTTGGCCCCTACCGCCTGACAGTATTTTACAATCCAAAAATTACAGCATGCGATTTTTCATTATGTCCTCGCACTAAATGACACCGACTAGAACTTTGTAAGAAACGGATGAAAACGAGAAATTAATTTTGTTGACAGAAATAGGAACAAAAATGCTAAACACATTGAGTTGTGATTTTTAGAATTACTATGTGCTTTTATATTACACCACATACTGTTGAGCCATTTTACAATATAATTTATTTACATCTCATCTCATCTTCTTGAAGAAACTTTGGATTGAACTACCATTGATCATAACATGGTAGACAAGTTTACTTCAGTTATATTTCTTGTTAATCTGTTAAAGAATTTTTATAGTTAAATTACATATCTGTCCCTAAATTTGGAAGTTTGTTAAGAAATTACTATTAAATGTAGTTTGCTTTTGCTAGATAGAACTTTTTCTTTCCATTCTAAGAAACTGTTTGGGTAAAGGGAACAGATAAACTCCAGCACTGATAATATTCTCATAGGGGAGCTGCCATATTTGGAATACGGATTTGAATCCTAATGGAAGGATTTATTGTAGCGTATATTGGACAACCCAGATCTTCACCTTGAACAAAAGCTTGGGGCTCAACTGAGGTCAATGAAGGGATAACTATTTATACTTAGCTGAGAATTTAGCTCTGTGCATTTTTAAAGGTTATGCTTTTTTAATAAAATAATGTCCCAATTTTAATTGTAATTTTAAAAAGTGTATTTCATATTTTGGACATAGCCTGTAAAAATTATATTAAAGGAGATTTTTGAATGGGTTTTCTTTAAGAAAATAAATATATGCCGTATACAGCTAACAGTGAAAACAGGTCAAATACATTCTGCCTAAATATAAAAGAATGAGTTTGATTGCTGCAATATTGTCAATAAGTTAAAATGTGAATTTGTACATTCTGTTATTATTGTGTGCAATTAGATATGCCTAGAAATAGATGCAAAATGAAAATGCTATCTTCCTGTCACAAACCGTTGTAACAACCTTTAAAATTAAAATATTGGTATTTTAGGCACCAGTCATTACTGAGCAGTTCCCAGTTGCATACCTTTCAGGCCCTGGAATTTTGGTTTGGTCTCTGTTGTTTATGTTGTAACCTATGTATTGTGAATTATACTAGTCTCATACAAAATACTTCAGAAATAAATACTTAAGCTCCACAGGATGTTATTTCCTATTACTGCATTGGAAGCACCTGCTTGCTTAACTTTGTAATATAATTTTAGGATATTCCAAAGACTTATAATTTAGAAGAGGGGTAACCAACCTCTGGCACAGGCAGCCTCAGTATGTGGCATGTAGCAGATGGGGGATGGAGCAGAAAGCAAAGTATAGGGGAGTATAGGGCTGGGAGCAGCAAGCAGAACAGATCAAGTAGGGAAGGGGTGGAAGTGGCACTGGGGCGGGGTAGGGGTATGGGGCTAATATGTGACACTGGATAATTTGTGACTAGACGATCTTCATCTGAGAGTGCTGAAGCAGCTGGCCTAAGTCATTGCAGAACCCCTGGCAAAACTCTTCCACAACTCGTGGTGCTCTGGAAAAGTCCTGGAGGACTGGAAGAGGGCCAGGGTCGTGCCCATCCACTAGAAGGGTAGGAGGGAGGACCTGGGTAACTATAAGTCAGTCAGCCTAACTTCCATCCTAGGGAAAATCCTAGAAAAGTTCACCGCGGAATCTATCTACGATAAGCTTGCAGAAGGTAAGATTCTGAATGACAACCAGCATAGCTTAGTCATGGGCAGGTCTTGCCTTACCAACCTCATCTCCTTCTATGACCAGGTAACTTGCCACCCGGACACAAGAGCAGTTTGACATTGTATACCTTGACTTACAAAAGGCCTTTAATCTAGTATCCCATACTGTCCTTGTGAGAAAATTGTAGGATTGTGGGCTTAACTCCAAGACAGTCAGGTGGGTGAGAAACTGGCTCCAGGATAGGACCCAGAGGGTCATAGTAAACGGATGTGTGTCATTCTGGCAAGAAGTGGGCAGTGGTGTCCCCCACGGGTTGGTGCTTGTTTCAGTACTTTTCAACATCTTTATTAATGATTTGAATGTGGGGGCAAAATGCTCACTGGCCAAGTTCGCAGACGACACAAAGTTATGCAGAAGCGTGGTCATGCTTGAAGATAGGCTACAGACACAGGTGGACCTAGACAGGGTAGTAAGCTGGGCAGATCAATCTGATGAAGTTCAACATCAAGAAATGTAAAGTGCTCCACCTCGGGATGAGCAACCCCCAACACATCTACAGGCTTGGTAGCACCAAACTGACTAGGACCACAAATGAAAAGGACCTGAGGGTAAAAATAGACTACAGTATGAATATGAGCCAGTAGTACAATGCTGTAGCCAGTAGGACAAATAATACTCTAGCATGCATCAATCAATGCATCTCCAGCAAAACCAAGGAGGTGATTCTTCTGCTTTACTCAGCATGGGTGAGACTGCAGCTGGAGTACTGCATCCAGTTCTGGGCACCACACTTTAACAAGGACACGGAAAAACTCATGAGTCCAAAGAAGAGCTACCCATATGATCAGTCTCTTACATGGCAAACCATACAAGGAAAGGCTGAGGGATCTGGGACTCTTCATCCTGAAGAAAAGGCAGCTGAGAGGGGACTTGGAGTAGCTTACTGCTGCACTAGGGGAGTACATCAAGGGCTTAGTGAGCAACTGTTCACCAGGGCACGACCACGAGTAATGCCCACAAACTCCTGGAAGACAGATTCAGGCTCAATATTAGGAAGAACTTCTTCAAAGTCAGGGTGTTCAGACTGTGTAATAAGCTCCCTCCAGAGGTAGTGCAATCACCTACCCTGGAAATCTTTAAGAGGAGACTAGACAGATACCTTGCTGGGGTCACCTGACCGCAGTTGTCTTTTCTGCTTGTGCAGGGGAATGGACCTGATAATCTTCTGAGATGCCTTCTGGCCTTACAATCTATGAAACCCGTCAAAAACTTTGGCCCCCTTATTTGGAACTGGGTGTTTTTACCTTCTCCTTTTATTAGCTTTCTTTCTGCAGGAAAAAAGGCATGAAAAAGAGTCAACTTCTGCAGAAAGTGTTAGACCCTGCTCTAAGTCCTATTTATTCCCTCAGAATGCACCATAATGGGAAATAAGATACAGGGGCATGACAAATTAAATAAAGGGAGAAAAATTCTAAAGTTAATTATTTATGCTGCCCGATCACTACAAGGACCAAATTATAATGCCATTGACTTCAACAGGATCAGGAATTCCCCGAGTTAAGAGAAAAATATCCCCTTTGAAATGGACATTACAGGGTGGCCAAGTTTGTACAAGGATTTTCTACACACACACAAACAGGTGGAAGCTGTATGGGATCACAGAAAATTAGGGTTGGATGGGACCTCAGGAGATCATCTAGTCCAACCCGTTGGTCAAAGCAGGACCATCCCCAACTAGGATCATTCCAGGCATGGGTTTGTTCAACTGAGTCTTAAAAACCTCCAAGAATGGGGCTTCCACCACCTCTCTAGGTAACCTGTTCCAGTGCTTCACCACCCTCCTAGTGAGTTTTTTCTTAACAGCCAACCTAAATTTCCCTTGTTGCAACCTGAGACTGTTGCATCACAACTAAGAACAGTCAAGCTACATCCTCCTTGTAACCACCCTTTAAATAGTTAAAGGCTGATAATCAAATCCCTCCTCAGTCATCTCTTCTTCAGACTAAATAAGCCCAGTTCCCTCAGCCTCTCCTTGTAAGTCATGTGCCCCAACCCCCTAACCATTTTTGTTGCCCTCTACTGGACTCTCTCCAACTTGTCCACATCCTTTCTATAGTGGGGGCCCCAAAACTGGACACAGTACTCCAGATGTGGCCTCACCAGTGCAGAAAAGAGAAGAATAATTACTTCCTTCAATTTGCTGGCAACATTCCTACTAGTGCAGCCCGGTATGCTGTTAAGAGCCTTCTTAGCAACAAGGGCACACTGTTGACTCATATTCAGCTTATTCACCATTATAACCTCCAGGTACTGTTATACAGAGCTGCTGCGTAGTCAGTTGGTCCCAAGCTTGTAGTGGTGCAGGGGATTGTTCTGTCCTAAGTTCAGGACTTTGTACTTCTCCTTACTGAACCTCATGAGACTTCTTTCGGTCCAATCCTCCAATTTGTCTAGGTCACTCTGAATCCTTGCCCTACCCTCCAGAGTATCTACTACCCTCCCCAGCTTGATGTCATCCGCAAACTTGCTGAGGGTGCAATCTATCCTATCCTTCAGATTGTTAACAATGACCTGGCTGCCAACTAGAGTTTGAGACATCGATCACTACCCATTGAGCCCACTAATCCAGCTACCTTTCTATCCACCTTACAATCCATTCATCCAACCCATACTTCCTCAGCTTGCTTGCAAGAATCCTGTGACAGACTGTATCAAAAGTCTTGCTAAAGTCAAACTACAGCATGTCCACTGCTTTCCCCACACCCAGAGCCAGTTAGCTCATCATAGAAGGCAATTAGGTTGGTCAGGCATAACTTGCCGTTAGTGAATCCATGCTGACTGTTCCTGGTCCCCTTTTTCTCCTCTAAGTGCTTAGAAATAAATTCCTTGAGGACCTGCTCCCTGATTTTTCCAGTAGTCGAGGCGAGGCTGACTGGTTTGTAGTTCCCCGAATCCTCCTCCTTCCCTTTCTTAAAGATGGGCAGTATATTTTCCATTTTCCAGTTGTCCAGGATAAATGATCTGGCATTGGTGAACTATGCAACAGTAATACAGAAGCACACAGATAGGGAGAAAAAAAATATGTGTAGGGCCTGAAAGGTGAGGTGAAGCAGTGTGCACAGGGTGGATCAGAGCAGGAAGAAGTATAAGGGTTCAAAGGGAGGAGTGACAGAACTGTGAAAGCCTACATAACATTGCAACAGTTCTCATTAATATTGTAGTAGAACATTATTTTGAATAAAACATTTGTTATTTTAATGCTGTCCAGAGATGCAAGAAGGACAGAGCAACTCAAGGCAGAAAGAAGTGGAAGTCTGCCCCAAACCATTTATTCTGTTATTAGTAGGGGTCTACTCAATTCATGGATTCCACAAATTTCACAGAAACCATGAAATCCAGGATTGTCCATGAAATTGACTTAAAAAAAATAAAAGCAAAATGCTGGCTCCCCAGTGGAAGCCTGCAGTCTTTGCTGCCACTGTGGCCCAGTCCTGCAGCTTACCAGGGGCTGGGGAGAAGGCGCAACCTGCCAGCGTGGCACAAAGGGCAGCAGACAAGATGGCAGCCACCCCCTCCACCCTTTGTGGAAAGACCCCAGTGACAAGGGGCCAATCAGTGCCAAGGGGCAGGGCCACCAGAACACACCAGGGAACTATCTGTAGAATTTGCTCTTTATGCCATGACCAACCTGAAAAAATTGTTTAGTTTCATCATGATTTTTTCATGATGAAAATAGTTCATCCCTAGTTATTAGGATGCAAAGGTTGCTTGGGGGTTAGAAATTGCTTCCCAATTCCATTTTCCTAATTGCTTCCCAATTTCATTCTCCTAATTACCCACCACAATTAGTGAGCAGGACACAAAGGAAGATAAAGGGCTGTCACTTTAAAAAAAACCAAAACAAACAAACCTTTATTCATAGTTCAACATATTACAACGTGCACTATTTGCTCACAGTCATGCATAGATAAGGCTAATAACTGAACGTTAAAAATTTCCTCACCAGGGATCTTATTCAGGTTTACTTCTGCACCCCCAAAGCCTCAGACATATTCCTAGGTCTTTAAGGGAAGGATTAATGAAGCCTTTGGTAAGAATCCCATTGTTTCTGACTGTTTCCACATTTGGCTGAAGTTCAAAGTGTAACGCCAAATTAACATTTAAACAATCATCTCACAGACTGATTATAATCAAATACTATTGCTCACGGTGCTGGTGAATTTTTTTTGGCACCGTGGTCAACCTCTGCTTAAAGTGAAGTAGCAGGTGAAGTACATTAGACCCTAAACAAAAGAAGTTAAAATGGTTTCTTGTTTCAGGACAGTCACTTTCAGTTTAAAAAAAAAATACTGCTAACCAGAATCGTGAGAGACATTCCCCAAACAATCTACTTACCTCACTGCCTGATACCGGAGAAAAACCTTGTGTATGTTACTATTATTATTATTATTGACTCTAGCACTGCATTCTAAGTCAGCCCACGACAAAGTGATTTTACATTAAAAAAAAAAGAAAATAAAAACAACCTTTACTATTGAGATCAGAAATAAAGGCTCTAGAACATGTTATCATTAAACTGCCATAAAACATATTAAATTAGTGCCTGCAGTACAGAAATGAGAAACTAAATGAGACTAAAATTAACATGATAACAAATTAGCTTTGCAGTTCTGTTACTGCAGGTTACTAAAGCTGATGTTATACCAAGTGGAAAATTGTGTTAACGCCTCAGAATGTACTTTGGCAAAGTCTGCAATGCCACACAGCAAACTTCTGGGGGTTTGCCATAGTATTCCTTGGTTTCCTAGAGTTTCCACTACATAGCTTAATAACTTTTGGAACATGCAATATTACAGAAAGTACTTTCTACAAGTCTAAGAGCAGCCTTTATGCTCTAGTACACAGTATGCATTCATTCCAAAGCAGAGTAGGAGTGAAGTTATACTTGATGATCCTGAAATACAAGACACATGTAATCAGGGGAAAATATGAGTTACTAGTGTTGCTGCAAGCCAAATCTACCTGCCTTCATCATTCAGATGATAGAGAACACCAGTGGTCAAGTGGATGTTTTGAGTTAAAGTGTATATTTAACAGATGACATTTTAACTTGTTTGGAGACCATTTGGGGGACTCGGGAGAAGCTACACATCTTGTCACTGTGAGGGGAAAAAAGAACTTAGCAATGTAAAAGGGAAAGGGAAGAGCAAAGGTTGGTACACTCTGGACATACTTTGCTAGTGCCAATGCTTGCCCCATAGCAGAATCCTCTCCAGCTGAGCATGGGACCACCAAAGCTAGGCAAGAGCAAAATGCAAGGCTTATGTGCACATGTTAGCAGTTTAGAGGCTGACCTGATGGGAGAGAAGTCTTCGCTTCCATACAGTGTCTTTGGGCACAAAACGTGTCTGAAGGTAGGCACCTAAGCCAGGTTTTCTTGTTTACAAGACCAAGACAAGACCATGGACTACTGGTTAAAGCACTCTCTGGATATGGAGGGCCAGGTTAACCATTCCTGCTCCACCCGGTTCACACAGGATGGATATTTGCATACAAAATGTTCACTGGGCCCGAGAAAGACTTATCTGCTTCAGATCTGGAAACAGGTTCAAGCCTCTGCCCATTAAACATTTATACACAGTGCAAGAGTACAAATGGAAAATAAGAAGGCACCAATTCCAAAGTCTGGTGATCAGGGCACTAATCTGGGAAAGATGGGTTTGGATCCCTGCTCCAAATCATAGCACAGTAGGGTTTTGAAACAAGGCGTCCTACATCTTGGTGAAGGATAAGTGCAAAAGAACAGCAGTGGCAAGAGTCTTTAGTACAGGATGCTTCCATATTAGGTGCCCTTGGAGCACATTTACAGGATGACACCCCATAAACAGGGCAAGCCAGTGGGAACACCTCCTGTGAGAATTCTGCTTTAGTGCTTCTTGGGTTTTGGCTGGAGCTACAACTCTGACCTGCTTCGTAGCTGTGGCGCAGACCAGCACTTGTGTTAGACAACTCCTGACACGTACCTTTTTGAATCATATTCCTACAGTCTGTGTGTTCATTTCAAGGCCAAGTTTACTGGGAAGCTTGATAAGGAAACCCCCCCATGAAACTGTACTTTGGGTTTTACTTTTCCTCTCACAGAACTATACTGGGCCCTTGGTTGTAAGTCTGCTATCCATGCACATTAACAAGTATTTTATCCTCTCGCCTAAGTAGTTCCTTGAAAGAGAGATTTAGTGATTAAAGGACTAAACTAAGTCACCAGCTCTGGTATCTTCAATGATCTCTTCCTTAAATGTCTGATGTACATAGCTTCTAATGCTTCACATCCACTTTACAAAATGAGAGACACTGAAGTCCAAGGATCAGTATTTGCAAACCCTAAAATACAGCAATGTAATATTGCACATCACAGGACTATACGGTAATAGCTAGCAGTGGCAAGCAGACTGCCTTCCCCCCAAATCCAGTGGCCTGTCTCTGGCCAACTGTATAAAGCTCCATGGCCCACAGCCTACTAGCAGCCAGGCAGGCTGCAGAAATACGCTAACTCAGGAGTGGAAGTACATTGGCAGCAGGTGTGTGTCTGCATCAGGACTAATTACTCTACCTCAGTGCAACACTGCCTGACAACACAGGAAGTGACACGAACAGAACAGCTGACTTCCCCAACTTTCTGCCAGTGTATCCAGCCTTACAGCTTGCTGGCTAAAAAAACCACAAGAGAGATTCACTGCTAACTAGACCAGCAAGCCAAACACATGCATAAACTATACCGCCAGGTGCTTAAGTAAGGCAGAACATTTCTCTACTCAGAATTTGAGCAGAAGACACGTTATTAGTCCTACATTTGAAAACAAATGCCTACAGTAAGGACCTCAGTTTTAGGTCAAACTCAAAAACACCACCTGACACTGGTGAGTACTGAAGTCCCTAGTGACTCAAAAGGTTAGAGCTACCCACTGGTGGGAAACCTTTGATGAAAAGCTAATCTCCCTTCTGAAGAAGTCCAGAATATCCACCCTGCCTCTCCAAAAAGAAGAAAAAAAGAATCAAAATTCCAGAAAAAAATATATACAACAACAATAAAATTGAAAGCTGTAGATATTGAGCTATCTGTCCCAAAATGAGGATGCAGTGCTTGTCGCATTTCAACTTCAGGGCTTAGTTCACTGAGAAAGTAGATGAGATAAAAACAAACAAACAAACACCGCCCCCCCACCAAAAACCTCCCAAAACACTCAATTTGGAATCAAGAGCTGCTTTTTCTCCTGTAGAGTTCTACTAGTCCCTCATTTGTAATTCTGCTATCTATGCATATTAACATATCCCTTCCTAAAAAAGAAAATTTAATTAATAAAACTGGGTCTGAGGTAAAGGAAAGGATTAGCAATCACTATTTTGGAGCTCTACTATTGGCCTTGACACAATGCACTGGGAAAACCATTTCTTTGCATATTGAAAAAGAAGGGATAGAGGACACTTCACAGGGGATTTGACAATTAAGTTCATGAGGTCACTAATCACAAGCTATAACCAAAACTAAAAAAATTACAAAAACTAGGTAAAAAGGAGCTGCTTTTTTTTGCACAAATATTGTTTTACTTGAAACAAAAGACAATGTTCAAGTGTAGGATCAGTACTTCAATACAATGTTGGGTGCCACATTACTCCAGAAATGAAGATTCCATTAGTCCATCTAATGTGGATAGTAAATCTACAGAGAATATTTATTCTATTTTGATTCCAATATAATTTGTCCCAAAGCATTCTTTGCTTAAACTCAATATTCTTATTCAGTCAGTGCAGGCAATATTTAGTTTGGTATAACTATTTTAAATAAATTGCTGTTGAACATTTTTGGCTTCAAGGACAGACAATGTGCTACTTCACTGACAAATCTTGAAGAGTTATTAAAGACTTTCCCATCTTATTTCCCAAATCCCAACAACTCCAAAAGTCTCCCTCAAACAAGCCAAACTAATGTTTCAAGTTCAAAATACAAAAAATATGAATTATGTTTTATAAAATGTAAAAAGCTAGTCAAAAGTACATGTTTAGGTATTTAAATCACTGAAGAATGGGATATAGCAGCAGGAACTCAAATATAATAGAGATTATTAACAATAAATACAAGAAATATTAGTGCAAAGGTTGCAATAGAAGAATTTCTTGAATAAAATGGGAATATAAACAGACGTTCTATTTTTACAAAAACAGTCCTAGCTCTGTATACAATCTGTTCTATAAATGCAACTATTTTGATGAAATGTTTATTTGCACATAATTGGTATTAGAAAGTGTGCTTTATTGAGTTGGTTCACTCTTCTTCTCTTGGCAGGCCTAATTTACAGGAAAGTCTGAAAAAACAAGATTTCAAGCATTAGATATTTCTTAGTATGCCCAAAACTACTTTACAGAAACAACTGGCTCAGAATACCCAATGCAGAAGATGCTACATCCACACAGTTTGCAAATGCTATTTCCTTTCATTGTAAAGATGCAGCATAAAAACTGAAAATTAGTTGTTTCTATACATCAGGGTATTACTAAAAAATATTAATAGCTTTCATAAAGCATGCTATAGTAAGCAAAGAGTAAATATGTTGCATACTATAATGAAAAGTGTGGGAGCTTGTCTTAATGCATAAATTTACCTATAGTGGAGCAAGAAATTGGCTGTGCATTGCTATTGCCTGTTGAAGTTTCTCTTCTTTGGCTCTTCTACAGTGGAAAAGCTGAAAACAAGACACAAAGGAGAGAGTAGTTAGCTTTGAAAAGAACTTATTGTCTGCCACATCCTAATCTTGTGTTCTACATAACTAAATACTCTTTAAAGAAAACCTTGGGTATTTTGATGGGCTTGAAAGGGATTGAAATGAAGTCCCTTTCAATTCAAGTAAGCCAGTCAGCTCCTCATAACTGTAAAAAACGCTCCTGCAGTAAAAGGCATTATTAACATATTACTAATTGTCATTACTATTCCCTTCCTTTTCTGTATCCCTCTGACAAGGTATTTAAAAGAATTCAGATTTTCTGGAATCCGACATGGCTGTGCCATCAGCGCTTCAGCTGTATCCTCAAACTTGAAACCTCTGGGCTGTCAACCATGAGTCTTGGTGCCCGTGCACAGCTGCTACTAGTGTGCATTTGGCAAACCAGGGGCAAGAACAGCATACATTCTTTACTCTTCATTATTCTCTAGATAGATAAAACAGACTAAGGGTGTCTAATTGATTTGGCCTTGGGCAGGCACAACATGCAACACAGGTCACACACTAACTGGAGCGGGTGCTGGATCTGGCGTACATAAGAGAGGGAGTGGTTTGAGCCCAGGGTAGCAGGGAGGAAGGATACCCTGGACTGGCCTTATGTGGATCTTGTGTGAAGAAAGGACATGCTCAGGGGTCAGCTCAAGATTCAGGACGAGTACCAGGGGCCAGATGTCCACAGGCCATTATTTGACACCCCTGAAATAGAATAAAGGGATTCGGAAAAAAATCTTCCATTTTATTTCATTTTAATTTAATTGTCCTATTTCTTCCTCCCTTTCTTATATTTGCCCAGCTGTTTTTTTTTCTTTATTATGCAAGGAAGAAGGGACAATATTTTTTTGGGAAAAATGGCTCTCGCTGAAGAAAAGGATGGAAGGGAATATGGAATTCATTATGCAATCCTAGAATGTATCAATTGAGATATTTCTAGTAGAGGCATGAAAGTGTTAACCCCCTTACACGAGGGCATGGTAAAGCCTTGTCTGAAGTACAATGTACAATTCCTGTCACCCACATTCAAGAAAGATGAATTCGAACAAGTGCAGAAAAAGGCTACTAAAATAAGGAGAACAGAGAGTTTATCCTCTGAGAAAATTCTAAAATAGCTTTGCTTGTTTCTTATAGTAAAACAAAGGCAGAGAAAGGATACAACAGCTTTTTGTAATATAGTGGGAAGTAAGCACCACGAGGTAATGACCCATTAAAGCTAGAAGCACAAATGTTGACACACGAACAAATGGGAATATAGAATATGAATACGTTTAGGCTAAAAATTAGGTTTCTAATTACTGCAGGAATGAGGTTCTGAAACAATCTTTTGTTAGGAGCAGTGGGGGCAAAGAGCCTAACTGTTTCTAAAATGCAGCTTGATAAACTAATAAAAAATTATATAGTATAGCTGTCTGCAATAGCAGAGACTCTTACTCAGTTGTCTCTTCCTGAAGAGGTGTGCATTTTAACAGGTCTGCTATTTAAAATTACTGTGGAGTGCTTGAAACCACTATTGTGAACAAAACTTTTACCCTGCAGGAGGTTGCAGAATCTAGCATTCTGAACTAATGGACAGCTCCTAAACCAAGTTTTGAAGGAATCTTGTTTTATAGCACATTGCACATGCAATTCATTAATGTTTTAGAGTAAGAATACATACTGTTCTCTTTTCCATGAAAATGCTTAAAAAGTCATCTATTTCTGTTTTGCCTTCCAAAAAGTCTTCTGCAATAGTGTCAGACTCCTCTTCTGCTTCATGAGCTGCTACTTTCAGTCTGGCTTGCAAAGCACTTGGACTACAACTCTGAGAAAGAAAATAGCTTTCCCATTAATGTTAAGTGTTCACTGAAAACTATGTTTCTATCACACCAAGTAAAAAGAATGTACAAACACAGATTAATACATGTAGTATCAAGATTGCCAAGCAATGTTGAAAGCTTGCTACCTACAAGAATCAGTGAGTTTAAGTTAACTGGAAATTAAAGGGGAATTCTGCAGGACTGAAAGGAGTTGCTTTGTAGAGTTGCAACTCAGGTCTTGATTCTGTGGCTGGATTTGAGCGCACCTCCCCATGCAACTGCACAAAGCCTAATGACTTCAATGACACTGCTTAAGTACGAGTAAGTCATAGGCTCCAATTTATTCTAACAAAAGGAAAGTTATCTCCATTTAAGAAGAGGTGAGCATTTAAATCAATCTGTAATTGTAACCGAGATTCATTATTTAGATTTTAAAGAAAGGCATTCAAGCAATTCTCCAACTTGCAGAACCCCAGCTTAGGCACAGTGGAAAGGGGGAGTGGTGATCTGTGTACAGAAGCAACTGTCTGCTCTTCCGCCACTACAGCCTTCGCTTAAGTTAGAGCTGCAGGGAAGTGACTAATTTATATTGTTTGAAACAACAGGCTTACTACCTCCTTGATTTGTTACCACTTCCTTCTTTTCTTGGAAGTGGAGTGTTTCTCAAAGCGTCTACTTTCTCTAGCCATGTGAGAGTCAATTTACCTTGGCCATGCAAACAATAGAATAGCAAATTCTGATCTTCTATTTCAAAGAGAGGACATTTGACTTACATACTCTTAAATTTCACTGACATTAAGTACAAAGACAGCTGAATTTTATGGTCTAGTATAGCATGAAATAGAAGAGATTAGGGGACATATTTTGGGCATTCTGAAGTTAAAAGATATTGTATCTTGACTGTTGTGATTATACAGTAAGTATATAATCAAACTTAAAAAAAAGGAAAAACCATACTCTCATCTTGCACAACACTGAGAAGTCTGTATGATAGTGTTGCTCTTAAATGCATGATTTTGGAAGTGTACTTGGAAATAACTTTTATAAAGTAACTTTAACGGTGAATTTCTGTCTTTACTTAAGAATGTGCAAGACTTGACAACTCTTGTACTGATGAAATAATTAAAGTAGGCTGGCAAAGCATGGGTTTTAAAGGCTGGATTAATGGTTTGACCATTTTTAATCAGCTAATTCTATAAAAGTGAAAGATTTAGTTATAGTCTTATCTAGCTGTAACGGTGTATGAGACTGGTTCAGTTTTTGTCCTGTGACTCTCTCCAATGACTGCCAGAAAGTTCAAACTGTCAGAAATGGTTCCCAATGAATCCCATCCAATACCTTCCAGGCTTATTCCTACTGTATTACTACATGTGAAATAGGAGTACAGTTGTAGTACGGTCTTCTTTGGCCAAACAGATTTTACACTGAAGTGCTAAATAGCACAGAAATCTTACGTGGCTTCAATTTACTTCCAAACAAATAGAAATTCATACACAAGTGGAACTTAGCCAGAAGAATATTCTTCATGGACAAAAGTATAATAAAAACTAGTTTTGGTGAAGTTATTAAAAATATCTAAATATCAAATTTAAAAGATTATATACCTCACTAAGCTCATGTTGCCTTTGCATCTTCTTCTCAAACGTGGCTTTCAGCTGTGTAAGCTGTTCATACTAGGGGAAAAAGATATTTTTTTAAAAAATCAAGAGGAGTACAGCTCTTTTTCCAGAAAGAGAGAGAGATTATTTTATTTCACTCACTTTATCCAGCACTGTTTGCCTTTTTGCTTCCAAGCTGGGCTCCAATAATAAGTTTTTCTCTGTAAAACAAGTCTGTCATTTACTTAAAACAGACATACATACACACATACAGTTCTCATAAAACACAACCATATTTACAGAAGTGGTCCAAGCCTTACTTGCTAGTTCTTCAATGCTTTTCACCAGCTCATCCTTATCACTGAGGACTTGCTTCAGCTGGGGTAGATTCACAAACTGTTCCAGTAATATATCCTCTTGTTCATTCATATCTGTCAACTGTGATATACTGCATTCAAAAATAAGAAAAATATGGTTATACAGGAGGCTAAGCATTCTATAAAACAGACAATACCTACCACCATATATCAAAGATAAAATCTAGCTTTATTCTGGATTTCTCTCTCAACAACAAAGAAGTCACACTGTTCATTTTCTGTTTCTTTTCTGCATTGCAGCTTTACCATTTGCACTGGAAGGGCTCTAAAAGGCCAGTGGATCTGAATGTCTTTCAGTCTTTACTAGCTTAAAGTTCTTGGGTGTGTCATTTAGTTTAGATGCAACACAATTTGAGAAATGAAGCTATTATGATGCTGAAAAATTCTGATTCCTTAGCTGAGGAAATGAAGTTAGTAAGTCAAAGATCAATCTGGTTGTCTTGAAAAGCTCTCACACATTGGTAATATTGTTTCTTTGAAACAAAACTGATTATATAAAACATCCTGCAAATCTCATGATTAAACTCCATGTTCAGTGTGCACAGCTTCTGACAAGTCCTTAAATAAAAGGATTCTTTGCATCCAGAGAAACACAGAAATTTATGTTCCTCCTGCTAAGTTTGGGAAAGAACAAGGAAAGAAATACTTGTTTTCTACAAAAAAAAAAGCTTCTGATCAATCAAATATAGCAATAGGGGGTAAAATCAGAACAAAAAGGTGAAATAGGTTTCAGTCACAAAGTTATTTCAACTAAGGAGTTTAGTTTTTCCAAATACAGGTAACTGGCCTGAGAAGCAGTCTCAAAGATCAGACTATTTGGCCCTTCAGTATTTAAATATCTATGTAGTATGCATTAAATGCTTGCTGTAAAACACTTTTTGTTTTAACAAATATGAAACTTCACAAACATAATAATCTGTATACATCTTGAACCGCACCAAGCAGCCTTAACACAAAATATGCATCAGCTTTCTCTTTTTTCCTTGAACAGTTACACTCCTGGGGTGGGTAATGAAGTGCTCAGTGACGCAGAGGATATAGCAAAATGCTGTCTGAATAATGGAAAACAGAAATTTGAATTTACCTACAGTTTCCAGTATGTTTCTCTACTGAAAAGAATCTGAGCAAGAAAAATTGAGCTCTGGAAAGATTATAGTATAGCCAGCAGAAACCATGCAAATCACAGCAAATGAGTACTTTTCTCCTTATGAAACTTGTTAGATGGCATCATAGAAATGACAAAATACTTTGATTCAAGCTATGGTTGCCATGCGATTTTTCCCTTCTCTCTCCCCAAGACTGTACCTTAGTTCTGAGAGCTCTGGAAATGCATCAGGGACATCAGGCATCTTGTAACTGAACCCATTCTGGCCAACCTGAACAGAAATTTAGAAATATTACTAACTCTTTGACAACAAATATTTACCTACTAGTCTGTCAAGTCTCACTTTGGCAAAAGAAAAAAAAATGCAGACTCCTGTGACAATTCAGCCACCATAACAAAACTGTGTGGGATGCTTGGAGTGGCATAGGACTTGGAGGAATCAAACAAGGAAGAAGTTACTTTTCTCTGAAGTCCACTGTGTCAACCTCAGTACCCAACTCCAGGGAAGAGACAGGGTCAATACCTCAGAAAAGTAAAAATCAGGGAATACAGCATGCTGGCTGTGCCTTCTGAAAGCAGCCTTTGCGGATGCTGCTTTCATTTCAAACTTAATGATATGAAAAAGGGTGACTATCAATTCATTTATTTAATCTTACTTCAGTTGAACTTTCTACAGCTGTGTCTGCCCATTAATCTTTATAGAAGGTAGAGCTTCTTTACTTCAGGAGGAATAGTTTTTCATCATGATGTGGGTTTAAGACTAGAACACTGAAGATGTTTTTCAAGCTCTTTGGAGTAGGCATATGAAGCACCCTTCAGAGCATGCAAAAATTATTTTCATTTTTGTGAGGCCATCAAGAGAAGCTTCTTGACCCAAATGAAGAAAGCAAAAAAAATAGCCAAAAACACCCTAAACATGCAATGGAGAGAAGACTTCATTACTGCCTTCACCTGAAAAACCCAGTATGAAACTATGTACAGTTTTGCTTTAAAACTGACGAAACAGCCACTAAACAGTTCAGAGGCTATTCCTACATGGCTCAAAAGGAACACATGAAGGTATTAACACACAGCTAGAGAAAGCAGAGAGTCTCTGCTTTGGCTTTAGTTTGATTTAAGAAGCTCTTGCCACAGCCAGAATGACTGCCTTCTGTTGTTGCTGCCAGCAAAGCAAATGAGTGAAGTCACCCATCCTGCCCCTTTGAATTCTATGTGAAATTCCGATTTAGCCACCTTATCCAAAATTTAGACTAGCTCTGAAAGCTGCAGCAGAAAACAGCTTGAATAACAAACCTCACCACATGCACAAACCTGCAGTAATCCTTCTGTTGTTGGAACAGGTAAAGGCAGATCAGCAATCAAGCCATACGAGGGAGCAGCAGATTTATCTGTAGTGTAACTTGAAGGAACTGATTCAGCAACTGGCACAGAAGCTATAGATCTATTTGTATCTTGTGGTGGGTATGGAGGAAGAAATGGAAAACCCTGAGGAGCATAAGGAGGCATTCCAGCTGGTTTACTGTAAAGGCTAAAAAAAACTGCCATAAGCAACTAAAATGCTTGTTGTTCACTTACAATATTTACAATTTACAAAAAG